CATTAAAGCTACTTACTAGTGACGAAAATCGATAATCTTGAGAAGCCAGAGATTCGGTTTTTGATGAAGTCGAGGGGTGCGCGCTGCTGACAGGTCCCAATGGGAATAGACGGCCCTCTGGAGTTTTCCCTGACGCGCGAAACTCTGACTTTGTAGCAACCATGATTAACTCTCAAGCAAGAATCACCAGAGTCCAACATAGTCTACCTTGCTGACGCAGCAGCCATTCTGCGAATACTCCCAGGTCGATGTGCCTAAAAGGAACTGATGCGAGGTCTACAGTCACAGTAGCGCAGCACGGCACCATTGACAATGCATTAGGGGTTTCCCCTGGTATACCTGATTTGCCTCACAATTCAGTTTAACCGTTTGACCGGAACCAGTTCAGCTGATTGAACTATTCCTCATTTTCTTTGGATGAATTGTCGCAAACAGCAGTTCTTGCTAACCTAGTGATTATATTACCATAAGCAGTTCGCTGCTTACGTTTTGAATAATAAAGCGGTTAGTATTCGAATCACACTGCATGAAAGCGGGTCGATTACGCACATCCATTGATCGATGACTGAAAGGACAAAGCGCCAGTCTTGTAACTCGGATGTTCAAGCTTGCGTAGTGGACCGGGCTATTCTCGCAATACCCTCAGCCCACGCACGACCGGTGGTAGTTGCGTGGCGGCGAAGCGTCGATACTGCGTACCGGCGTATGTGAGGCTTGGCAAACCTGGTTAAAACCCGAACTGGTTATACTGGATATTCACACCAAGAACAGCAATGAAAAAGGTAAGGGGGTTGATTCACCTGCCATACTATCTGCGACTGAAAGCCTTGGGAGTGTTCAGCGGAATTTATCGCCGTTTATGGGGCGACCTCATTCTGGCGTGCTAGATTTTAAAAAACTCTGGTCACGTTGCCACCACCTGAAACAGACGCAATACTACATTGAGGAGTCATCAGCTGAAACTGGCCACCCAATTCAATCGGCTGAGATGCCTCCGGAATTATTTTCCTCTTCGAATTTGGAACGCCCTTTCGACTTTTATCATTTCTGCGCCAACGCTACCCATTTAAAAAAACGACTTGACGATGCTTTACGCCACCTGCATCACCTGATTTGATTCCAGTTCATCAAGTGACAGTCAGACGCAGACAAATATTTTGCACGCCAACTCCCACGAAATCGGAGTAAACGGAGTTACTTGTGGTAATCTGCGTTTCACTGTAGCGTAACTTATTTTTTTTCAACTTATGTAATTCACACAAACTATCCTACGGTACCTGTCAAGCCTTGGCTTTTTGTCCGTATTAGACCGTTGTTCTGTTGTATTGGTATTTTTGATTTTATAATTCGGCTGCGTCTCAGCTCCTGATGTAGTCTGCGATTTGCACACTGCCAAGGAATTGCACTTGATTACATGATAACATATTCTTCCCGAAGCAATTGTTCTGATCTCCATCGCCTTTAAGTTGCTCACCTCTGTGATTCCTCACATATTGACTGTCACCCGTGAAAATCCAATTCGTGAAGAGCATGCCGGATTTCTAAGAACTCGTAGCTTCAGTAACTAAGATTTTTACTTTAATTGTTTGACCATCGCCACATATGTTGTCGATCCACCGTAGTCGTGTTCCTCGACCTGATAAGTTCCATCGATTCATTGAATCCATATACTCTTTTGAACTGTCTGATCAGAAAATCTGTCCTTTAGAAGTACGTAAACCTTGTCATAGCGCTTTATGCGCGTAGTTCGAGCAAGGTGTGGGTTTATGGCAAACTGGTGCCGCCGTTCAATATACCCATCTGTGTGGAATATGGATGCCTGTTGTCGCATTTCTCTTTTAACTGCGCCTTTGTCGATGTAATGAAAGCTGCACTGGACTGTAAAGGTATGGAGCTACTTCCTGTTGACAGACTTCTCGATTTGGAGTACCCTGACTACATTACCCTAGTCTGTGATAGCTACCAAACGTGCCAAACAATACTGAACCATCTAACACTGGTAGTCAATCGTTTTGGGTTGTGCGTTGCACCTTGAAATGCATTCTCTTCTTCCGAAGTTCCCAGGGACCGTACACTGGTAATCAGCTGAAAGTCGTCCAGTAACTCACTATTTAGGCAATTATATCAAAACATATGGAATAGAAAATAAGGTCACGAACCACATGGCAATGGCTCGAAATAATTCCATGACTCTTCGTCACCCGCGACGCCGGCGCGACATAACTCTCTCGCTAAAGGACAGAGTTTACAATGCAACCGTCCGTTCAACACTCTTGTTCGGTTGCGAAACCCGGTGCACCAGTTGGACAGACGTAGGGAGGCTTGTCACGCTAGATGACCAATGCCTTGATATGTTTGCTCGTATCTGTTGGGAACAACGTGTGATCTGTGAACGTGTTTGACATTTTGTACATGGTGCAGGAAGAGCGAGTGAATCGCTTAGCACCGTATTTCACGCACAAGCGCTGGGCCACGTGTTGCGCTTGTACAGCACACCCACTCGCGCGACCTGCATTGTTTGTGCGACCATAGTGTGGATGGAATTAGCGGAGAGGCCAACCGATGACAGTCAAGAGGATTGGGGTCCTTCACTTCTAAGTTGGCCACAGTTGGTGTCGCCAGACAGCTATAGCTGGGGTCCGAATGATGGTGAACACGCTGGGTTTGATACACTTGTTGACATAGCAATGATGTTGTGGGTTCGTTTGTCCCGCTTCCTCTTGCTTAAACTCCTCCAACCGCGATGTTGACGCCAACGAATCGTCCTAAACAAAGCATGGTGATAATTCAGGTAGGTCTAAGACGCAACTCGGTTTTGTATTAGCCTTTATTTTGGCTGCGTCTCGTTCTTCAGAATAGCTGTACAAGTACATAATTAGTTTAGCGTTTATCACGAATTAGGTCAATAAGTGCAAGAAATGATACGACTCAGTGGATAATTACCTGTATAGTTCAATAGGTCATAAGGTCATTTAAATGGTATACTAGGCATGGAAAGTTCCAGATGGCTCCGCGCCTTGTTAGTGTTGCTTCGGACGCTTATTTTTGAAAATTTGCGCTCCAGCTTGAGTTCACCTGCGGGCGCTGTTCAGATTCACCAAGTTAAGACATCGTAGCCACGCGCTTCATAGCCTTATCCCGTCTATACTTTTCGCATAATTTTAAGCTTTGACGATTTTCAGTTCCCTGGTAATTAACCTTCGACCTGTTAGTTGTACTGTTCTAATGATCTTTCTACATCGTCCCATTCGATTTCTTGCTCCGTATTTAGTGTTTATACCGCTATCGCGGAATTTGTTTGTTGCCTAGTGTATTCATCTTCGTTCACCAAATGTCGTCAGACTCACCTCTTGTCTTCTGCTATTTTTTTACATATCTCTACCACTATTTGTCCTGTGTATACTTATGCTGCTTAGTCTTGGTAACTGGTTTTATAGATGCAGTTGGTCACCTCATCCCTTTGAAATGGATTTTTCAAATGCACCATTATTGAACTGATCGTGTGATCACTTTCGAAAGCTACCATTTTCTTCGCCTTGTTTACTACCCGCCTGATCGCTCGATTTGTGTCCCAAACCTACCAATCGGTTCCCAGCATATTCTGAGATGTTGATGCATAATGCTGTTTATGTTTTGTTTTGCATTGCTTTCGTTGTCCATCCAGTTATTATTTACTACCATTTGCTTCGTTTGTATTGGGATAATATATTTGGTGATTATTATGTGTTGTCCTATTGTTGACTTAGCGTTAGAGCCTTCTATTCACATCCCAGTGTCTCAGCCGTATTCTTTGCGGATCCGGTCGTGGAATGCTGTGCTTCGAGCGAGCAACCCCTGACATCTGCTTGCTTCAAGACGTGGTCGCAGTTAGCAAATTGGCGGAGGCCTCACTTCACCGTTAATTGCCATCCACATTATGATTGCGCATCGCATACATTTTACACATACATCGATTACGTCGGACAGACTCCACTAGCCGATGAGTTCAGAGGTCTGGCTCGTTATCATATAACCCGCCGGTCCGAGCCCGTGGAGCTGTGGCGACCTTGTAATATCCATAACCGTCACACTATCACTGTTGACTGTGATTCTTTTGTACCGGCCTGGTTTTCACGGCTGTCCTCGTCAAAACGAACTTCTTGCATATTGTGTACGCGTACCGAAGAGTAGCTGGAACTATTCGATTCTTACTACTCCGTCAGCCATAGTCACTAAACTGTAACGAGCGACTAGAGCGAACGCGGGCCCCAACGAATTTACACGACCCAAGAGCTGGAGGGGCTCTTTTCACCATACACTTTTATTGGCCCTACAATGATCGAGTTCATCGTTTACCAGCGGCATATTTTTACCAAAATGGTGGCGCATGTGATTTTTCACGTAAAACAGTCCGTTTAAGCTTAACTAGGGAGACGTAGCGTAAGCAACTGAATTGGCACCACATATCGGACCGTCAAAAACATGTTAGTATTAGCTCAGATTGGTCGAGCATGACGAATTCGTTGCCGAGGCTATTCGGTAAAGATGGAATTCTTGTAGATACGAATACTGGCCGAATCCTGTGCATTGGCTTCAATGCGAGTGTCTGAGCATAACTTGGTTTTACTTGTGCGATTTTATACACATGCGTTTTTCATAAAGTGACCGCGAAATATCGCTTCGGAATGTCCACGTACTGTCTGCGCCCCATGTTACATATTTCACTCATGCATGCGCATGATAATTATTGTACCTATGATCTGTCCACAATCCAGGGACAGCTTCTTTTACAAACGGGAAATATACGTATTGTTATTATTTGTATCGTTATAATATCCTATTCTTGGGCGTCGAAACGCATTCTGTTCTTTCTGCCTTTCTGCTTGCCTACTAGTTTATCACCCTCATCATGCGTCTGCTTTTTATTGATGATGTATTTGTAATACCAATGTTACCACACATGTCTATCCTTGTCTTTTGTTATACTACCGAATCTATCCTGGTTTTTTCATCGGTCGTAGGTGTTTTTCGGGGATTTGGAATCCGTTATCTCCTATGAAGGCTGCGGGCACAGTTCTTCCACAGTGGACCCATTCCTTGATCTGTCACTCGATGTGATACAACGTGGGTCTACGTCACTGCAAGCCTGTTTGACCTCATACTTCCGACCTGAATCCATCGATGGCCTCATCTTGTGCTCCCAATGCAACGTTGGTCGACCGGCGGTGAAACAGTTCAGTCTACTACACCTCCCCAACGTTCTTTGCTTCTACTTGAAAGTGAGCCCGCTTAGACACGTTTATCTTGTGCATGTTTGAAAATGCATTTTTGATGTTTTGGACTATATTGTCTTTCGGGAAGTCGCAGCGTCGCACACTACTCTGGCGTACCAATCGCATCGTGCGGTTTTTTCCCCGACGATCTAGTATCATCACCAGACTGTCTCTTATTCCACTATTGATATCAGTGGTAGAGCAGCAGACCGGTAATCCGTGGAACCGGGGTTCGATTCACCGTCGAGGCATTGTCGGCCGGTGGCCGTGTGGTATACGCGTCTGCTTTGCAACCATAAGATCACCGGTTCGAATCCGCTTAGGGGCGAACGTGTTGACGCGGCAGCGAAACGATGTTATGGCGACAGTTGGCGATTTACTTTCCTACATTGACTTTAGTAAGGCTTTTGTCAAGGTTAACCATGCAGTGCTCCTTGACTGGCTGAGGATGTGCGGTGTTGGTGGTTCACTACACCAATGGATCAGAAATTTCCTTGTTGATCGAAAGTGGAGGGTCCAGGTGGACAACCATTTAACTGACTGGTATCCATCGAGCAGCGGCGTGCCCCAAGGCACTGTACTGGGGCCGATATTGTTTCTGATCCATGTAAACGATGTACCTCAGCTACTCCAATCACCTTATGCGTTGTTCGCAGATGACTTGAAGGTGTGGAAAGTAATCCGCACACTCAATGATTGTGATTTGCTTCAGCAGGACCTCGATCGCCTCACGACATGGTCTGCAGAGGTTAACCTTCCGATCTGCCTCCTATTAAACCGTGGTAACTACCCTATGTTGTGACCATTTCTTCTTTTGCGAACGCCATGTATCACACGTGGACACACGTACAAACTTTGTGGCGTCGGATATCAAACGATTACCCCTCTCCCTGTGCTTCGAGTAAGAAGTGGGAAATGTTTGTAACTGTTGACCGAAACTAGTTGTGGATGCCAAATCTATGCTGCAATTCAAAAGGTTGATGGATTTAACATTTCTGCACCATTAGATTCTGAGTACGATTGCACACTAGTGATAACATCTTACATTTGTGTTCCCAGAGAAACCGTTGGGTAGAGATTGTAAAATGCAACCTAAGAACTTGAAGAACGATTACATATTAGAGGTGCATATATGTTTGTGACAGTTTTGGTCTTATTTCGATAGAGTTGCATATGCATGAATTTCTACTTGCTCCTGCAATGCAGTATTCAGGGATTCAGCGACTTCGAGGCGCTAGAGACCTCAAAACACAGGGCAACATTGGACGTCAAAGAGGCTGAAGATGCTGGGCGTTTTAAGAGGAGGTTACCGATGACTACAGGTTGATCTCATATTATTCAACTGAATATTCAGTGACCCACACCAACTTTGCCGCCATTTTCTGTAAGTTAGCTACCATCACCTCAGAGGTAACTGCCTGAAACTGAGTGAACAATGTAGCCGTCTAGTACCGTCGGAACTAGTTTTCTGTTCCGGTGTTCTAACGTTGAAACTCTCAAATTCAGCGATATCCTTCCCTACTTCGGATATCTTAAAAGCAAGGATTGGATGTTGATCTGGGCCTTTAATATATCGTTACCTAATCGATGGTACTGTGGAATATCTGAATCGCACCTTTATAACTGATTTATCTGTCACATGGATCCACAGATATTGTACGTAGTATCTTATGTTTATTTTTCCTACGCAATACGTCACTTAACACTACGCCCCATTTTGTTCCGCACGTGTAGCTTTAATTTGCGGTTTACAATTTTGTTATCCACAACGCATTTAACTCAATAGTTATTCAAACAGATGACTCGCATCGTTTGATTTCGTTTTTCTTACCCCAGTCAGCAGCACCATCTACATTCTATCGATGATAAATCACTGTTTATTGCTCCCAAAAACGAAAGAACTGTTAGGGAAATAGTAACTTCTTACTTGTCATTAGCATACGGTATTACAAGCTCTTTGTTATAAAAGTCTTTAGGGGATCAGTCGAGATGAAAAAATGTTTAATGACAGTTTAATTACGTTGCAATTCCCTGGTTTCGACAACTTCTGAGTAAACAACTTGTAACTGGTTTACCGTATTCGAGCTCAGTGTATGAACCTCAGAACATCACCAAAAATCATTTCTATAATACTCCTTGGGATTCGAACCAATGAAGACCCTTCCAGACGGTGTACCATTTATCGCCAATTCTCCTTTTCCCTCCTTCATCAATCACACGCGCTTGTAGCGGCATACGACTGTTCCGTGATCGAACGAAAATTAGCAGCTTCAACCTAAACGAGCAATTAATCGCTGTCTGGCGAAACCATCAACATGTCTTCCGCAACTGGGTACTTGCACTTCCCTGCGATGATCCCGGTACCTTGAAATTATCCGTCTTCTGTACTTTCGTGTCAGACACTGCTCGTCGACCTTTCGACTTCGAGTTCTTTTCCTCGGGCTGTGTTCACCAGAAAGAACCCAAATACTACCTCAACCTGTTTTCTCTCTCATTGTACACTGGTGTTTGTAACTTACAGCAGTGTCATTAATGCATTGTTCATTGGAATTGTGGCACTAATATTTTTAGCTATATTATTCCTTTCCACACGTTCTCTTTTGCCATTTTCGAAATGTTTATCCGCCATAGGTGGTTTTGTTAGTAAAACTATAGAATAATCAAAAAATAGTCCATATTCCTGAGTATTGCGCTGTATTGAATGTTATAGGTCATCATCATCATCATTATCATCAACAGCAGTACATCAGCCATTTGAACTGTTGCTTCGCTGCCATACAACCATGAGGATCCATGAAATAAAGAGTAAGAAGAGGGAGAGAAGGGGGACTTACCTGAAAACCTTAATGTTCTAAGCAAACATTCAGGGTCAAGGCGCCTACACCTTGTGTTAACAACCTACCGTCACAAACAGCTGTCTGTCGTGCAAAGATAAGGCGGCATCGGCGAGACAGCTTCCTTGCGGCTTTCACTGCGACGCGTCATAATCAGTCATTACTCCGCAGATAAATCAGCACCAAACACACTTTAAACAGACAATCCGATTAGGAGACGGCAGCAGACGCGCCACTGGTGTCGGTTGCGAGCCATGTCCTGTAAAGTCTCGAGCTAAGCACAAGGTGAGTCACGTGGACTGCAGCCCGGAAGGCGAGACGGACCAACGGCACCCAGTTGGTCAGTCAGTGACTTCATTTCCCACTGCCAAGTCAACTTCTGTCCACCTCGAGCCTTGCGCCATCCGACATCTGGTAGACTGAACAAGGCCCTCCTAGGTAAGCGGTGACCAGGCATGCGTAGCACGTGCCCGAGCCAACGTAACTTATTCAGTGCTATCTGTTGTTCTAGGGAGCTAGCATGATTATCACAACCTAGTACTCGCCTATGCACATCATCGTTGCGAACAAGCTGGTGCCATCCGACACCAGCAATGCTTCGCAAACAACGAGGATCAAAGACTTGAAGGCGCCTCAGATCTTCAGACCGAAGGGGCCAAGTTTCACTACCATAGAGCAGAACGGCCCTCACTGTGGCCTTGTATACACGGCCTTTAAGACGAAGGGAAACTCCCTTCTGTCGCCAAAGATCTCGCAGGTTCAAGAAGGCAGCTCTGGCCTTTGCAATGCGTGAGCTGACGTCAGTTTCGATGCGCCCATCATTGCTGATGCAGCTGCCAAGATAAGTGAATTGATCAACCACCTCGAGTTCCTTGTTAGCAAGCGTCAAGGGGTCATGAAGTGGCTGCTGGTCCTGCAGCAACACTTTGCACTTTGAAGGTGCGAAGTGCATACCAAATAATGGGACCACTCTGGATAGGCTAATCAGGGTTGATTGTACCGCCTCAACATTGTCGAAAAGCAAGACGATGTCGTCCGTATAATCTAGATCAACTAACCTTTCACCAGACAGCGCTTCAACGCCTACGTCGTGAGGTTCCGCCAGGGAACACTCCATGATAGAATATATGACGAAATTGAACAAAAACGTTGAAATCGGACAACCCTGACGAACGCCACTTTTAGTCGCAAAGCTATCCGATAGGACACCATAGACCCTGACGCGGCCTGTAGTGTTCGTGTATAGAGCACGAAGGATGTTCACATATTTCGTGGGAACACCTTTCCGCACAAGTAATTCAAACAGAATAGATCGATCGACTGAATCGAACGCACTCTTGAAATCGAGGAACACAGCTATTGTCGGTCTGCGGTATGCGTGGCGCTGCTCTAGCACCTGCCGCCAAGTGAATATATGGTCTATACAGCCACGTCCTGGGCGAAAAGCGGCCTGCTCTTCTCTAATCCGAGATTCCCGTTCTGCAGTGAGGCGACGAACGATAATCGAGACCAGTACTTTTGTCACAACTGGCGTTAGGCTAATACCCCTGTGAATGTTATAGGAGATAGTGCTAACTTATTTAGGGCGTGTAGATGTCACCCTATATAATCTGTGCGTGCACATATAGAGGTATGGAAGGAGAAAAATCCCATATTGAACTCATTGTTTTCTCAACCATAAATTTGGGAATTAGTGTCAAAAGACGGACCTTTTCAGATTGGCTTATTCAGGTTCTCAAGTGAAAAGTAAATCAACAAAGAGTAGCCTTGCCAGCAAATCTTACGTTTGTGATTAAACCATCCAATCTTTGCTTTTAAGATATGATTAAGCGGAGTCGAGGAACAAGAGTAAATCCAAATAAATAAATTATCTATGCATAAAAAGGACCGCCACATGCATGATGGGAATTGCAAAATAATTGAAGTGCATTTAATATCTAACAATAGAAATCCTTGTTAGTTCATTATTAAATGTTTTGTGAGGTTTCATTGTCGGACATTACCCAGGCCAACTATAAATTTAACGGCATGCACTGCAAGCTTTAAGATGGAAATTAACCGCGTTGAAGAGTTTGGGAAGCAATCATGATACGGAGCACTGTAGGGGTGAAACGATTAAATATGAAACAATCTAGGGCAGAACCGAACTAGGGAGAATTTAACAACCGGGGATGAAATGACCCACCCATTTTCGAATGTAGTTGACCTTGG